TGGGGATCGTTAGCACAGGAGTGGTAGCTGAGGCTATAGGCTTGAGTGTGGTTGCTCCGGGGAAAGCTGAAGGCAGAAGAGGTAGGGAAAATTGTAGGAGACTAATAGTTTAAAGGTACGCAGAGGACTGGAATTCAATAGGGAAAAGGACAAACCATGGGAAACTAGACAAGCAAGAAAATAAGGACTTGAGAGATAAACAGCAGTGTGAACAGAGGCTGACCAGGATGAATAAGCTCATCAGGTTGGCAGTGAAGAGGTCATGGTGACCTGTACTGTACAGTGCAGTGGAGTGTCCAGACCGGAAGCTGTGCTGCTGAGGACCGATAGTTGTTTCAAAGATGCAGATATGGAGAGCACTTTCAGGCTCATGGTGGGCACAGTTCGGAGGTCAAGGAGAGGAATGAGAGCAGCCAGATGTTGGTGAGAAGGTTCGTTCAAATAAGTTTGGCTTTTCTTCCTTTATTCCACTTTTCTTTTGGTATGGGGATGTCATCAGAGTACATTTATAGAGCAGGGAAGTAAAATCAATATAATAGAGTGATTCAATATGAAGCAAGAGGAGGGTTAAAGGAACAAGGTCCAGAGGGAGGGGACAAGTCTTTAACTGAGCAGAGTGCTTCTAGGAAATGAGACTTCGGTTTTCATGGAAATGGTGATAGACTTTGCCTTAGCAAAAGATTTAACTAAAACCGTTTAAAGGTCCAATGCAAAAATAGCAAAGGGCTTAAGGCTGACATATTAAGGGATTTGATGTAAAAATTATTAAGGGTTTTAATTATAAAATATTAAAGAAGTTAACTGCTAGACAATCATGTCCTCATTTTCTGGGGAGATGAGAGGCAGACAACACGGCCTTCCCAACTCAGTTGTACTTCTGTTGATGGGTAGTTAAGGGCACCCTGATCCCGAGGCAGGGCTCTGAACACAAAGCAGTGCAGCCTAGAGGCCTGTGGGAAAGAAAGGAAATGGCAACAATGCACTGTGGGAAGTACATGGCACACCCAAGAGCTTCAGTTCTTCCATGACATCTAGTTACAGGTGACTTGAATGAGCACCAGAAGCGTTTCAGTGTCGGTTTGCAGCCTTCCGGTCGGAACTCTGCCAGGGCTTTCATGACCAGTTTAACTACCCACGCTTTAAAGAAGGTGAAAGAGCACATATTCTGATTAGGTCTACAGAGCGAGAATCAGTGCTGGAAAGAAAAAGCAGAAATGCATGCACAGTTGGTATGGTGACTGAATTCTGAACCAATGTCAGAGGGTAATTTGACATGGTCTGGCAAGTAGTCAGGTATTTGAAATCAAGAGTAACTTGATAAGTCAGAATTTGTTGTTGCTGATGAATAAGAAATCTGATTTCAAAAGCAGAAGTATATTATTAATAGTAAATGCATCCATAGAGAGTCACGCTGGCCCTCAGGATGACTGCTGTGATGATTCTGTGTGTATTTCCTGTCCCTTTTCCAGGTATTTGGTATATGCAAGTCTTACAGGACACTGGAAAAGATACACTTGATTCTTCATTTGCAAATTACTTTTTAGTATACTCCTCTTTGCATAGAAGCTTAATTTAATAACCAGCCAATTACACTCCTCAAATATACATGTGAATTTAGTTACTAATTTATTAATTTATTATCAGTATTCTTCTAGGACTGTTTTAAACTTCCAACAATAATCTTAAATAACCATAAAAATCAAGTTTGCTTTCATCCTTTTACCACTCACATAACCAGGCTAATGTGGAAGGGTTTATGAAAATATTACATACCTTTTTAACTTCCCAAAGTAGCCAATCATTTGTTTAAAAATAAGCTATTGGTAATTTAGGCAATGGGTCCTAAAACACAAGTATACCATTTCTTAAAACTGTAGAGCATTTATAAGAATGAGAAAATTTTCCTAATTTTTGCATCTTGAAAAATGCAGAACATAAGACTAAAGAGATAGCTCAGAAGTAAAGAACGCTTGCTTCTCATCCAAGATAACCCAAGGTTGGTTCCCAGCACTCACATTAGGCAGTTCACAATAATCTGCAACTCCAATCCCATAGGCTCTGATGTTCTCCACTGGCCACAACAGACACCTAAAACTGTCATGGACATATGGGTATGTGTGCACACACATGCACACACGCACACACTCATACACACACACACACACACACACACAATAAAAATTCTACAAAATGCAGAATAGTAATTTTGTTACCCCTAATTTTCTTATAATTAGATAAATACATTTATATTTATAGTCCTAACATTGCAAGAAACATTTATATACTGGAAAGAACCATACTGGCCTCAGAATTGCTTTGCTTGATCTGGTGGTTTTATTTGGATTGGATAATAATGGAAAATAAAAATTTTCTTTTAGGCTTATTTTGTTTCTTTAGTCTTGTCATGTGAAAGCTACTTTTTATACATACTTATGTAAAAACACACATTTATCAAAAAACTCAGAGTCATTGTGTTTAAATTGCTGTAGTCTGACAGTTTTGATTTTTCTATAATAACCAATTATTTGATAAGGAAATGTCTGTTCACAAATACCTAAAGTAAATGAGTGGGAAAATGTCATAATTTCCTCTGAGTGGCCCAGGAAACCATTTGGTATGGCTTTCAAAGTATTGCCTTGACAGATGAGTAAAACTACCTCAATATACACATCAAACTGATAAGAAAAGCAAACATACATTTTAAGTAATAAGCAGGCCCACCCTGTCTTTTGATGCAAAGTCATTTTCTTAGATGCAGTGAACAGGTGTGTGGGAGCTGCCCTCATTGTATGCATAGGAATGTGGAGCCTGGGGTGGGGGGGGGGGACAAGAGCATTTTTCTCCCTACAGCTTTATCCAAATGAGGCCAGGAAAAGGTTAGTGCTAAGAAAACAGAGTGGAAACATCCAGCCATTGTGTTTTCCTGCAGGTGGAGGGGCAGTCTACCTGTGTCTGTGTCTCCTTTGCTGAAGGTTAAGAAGTTAGAATAGCTTAGACTGAGTGAGTTTAAACAGAAATCCATGCAGAAGAACTTTGGTTCTGCAGAGGGGAAAAAAACAACAGTCCTGGCAGTTACCCGGATCCAAGTTGATCTTGACATCAAGGATGGCTTTGATAGGATTGGGAAAGTCTCATACAACAGATGCCTATTTAGGTTTCAGTTCCACCATGTCATATTTGGTCATGTCCACACAATTAAGAGCTACCCAGATGCGGAGGCATGTAAAGAATACTTTTTACAGGTCTAGGGAGATAATTGGTGGGTGAAGTATAAAAATGAGAACCTTTGTTCAGGTCCCCAGCATCCATGTAAAAAAAACTGGGTGTGCTTCTATGATCTCAGCCCTGGGGAGCTGGAAACAGGAGGATCTCTGGGGCTCACTGGCCAGACACTCTAGCCAACTGCTAAAATCCAAATTTCATCAGAGACCGTGTCTCAGAAAATGAGGTAGAGAAAAATTGAAGATCATCAATATCTAGGCTCTGCATAAATATGTATTCTGCATGCACAGCATCTCACTTGTGCACACGGACACATACACAAACATATATTCTACATGCACAGCCTCTCACACATACACGTGGACATACACATATATACAAACATATGTTCTGTATGCACAGAATGTGCACATGGACACACACACACATTCTTGCTAGCAGTTTCTTAGTTTTAAAAAATACCCTTGTAGTATTTCGCAAGTTATCATGTTCTGGGGTGTATTCTGGTATGCTTACAGGGACACGTCTTTGGATAAGATCCGAGGAGTTTACGTTACTAGCAGATCTCACATTCATTTGATACACTTCCTAGATCTTTGGTTTATATGTCATGAATTTATTTGTTTCCCTTCAAGAAACTAGCTCCATTCTAGCCTCTTTTCATTAGAACACCAGTTTGTCAAAGAGCTACACACAGTAATGAGAGGAAACTTAATTTCTGAAGGCTCAAAGGAAGGAAGGTTGACATTTCAATTTCAGAGACCGTGACACATTATCCCTTCCATGACTTTATCTCTGCTTAACGGCGTACATCTGTCAGAAGGTTTTGTTTACAATTCAACTCTACTTTTAATGTGTAAAAACACAAACAATGGGATAAACTTCTCTGGATGACAAATTCCATCTTGATCCTTTACTGTCATTGCAAAAATGAATTCTAAAGAAAAAAAAAAGTATAAGTCTCACTCTGTGTTACGCAGGATACCCTGAGAGAAAAGTCAGACCAATGATCTCCAAAGAAACACAAGGGCTTGGGGAATCGGCTTGTCCTATGGCCTGAAATTCTAAAGTTGAAAAACTCTGGAGCAACACAGGTTTAGCATCCCTCAAGTCTGAAATACAAAATGGCATAAACGTGGAGGGGGGTTTTGTTGTTGTTGTTTTTCTGGGGGTTTTTGTTTGTTTGTTTGTTTTTGTTTTTTGTTTTTTTGATTTTTACATTTGAAGCTTCTCAGATTTCAGGGTTTAAATAACAATTGTGTTTTAGCAAACTCTAGGCAAAGACTCCAAAATCTTCTGAAAGATTTCTAGTCCCTGGTTTTTCAGAGTTGAGATACTCGATCTATCCTCAAAAGTTAACTTTTTATTCAATGTTATTTTAACACACCTATTCATTTACAGCTGTATTAGACTGAAATATATTCTGAATCAAAGTATATTTTCAACTAGTGTATTACAAAGTATGAAATTATCATGTTCTGGGGAATATTCTTGCCATGCTTTGCATCCCATCATGGTAACCAAGAACAGCTTTGCCCTCTAGCTCCTACCGCATTCAGCATGTCATGTGAAGCAATCAATATTCTCAGCTATGAGAATCCTTCCTGGTTTCTTCAGTTGCCTAAGCTTTCGCATTTTAAAGACAAAATAGATGGGGAGAGGAAGGTATGTCTCTATTGACGTTTGGAGTTACCATATTGCAAGCAGAATGCTTCTAAAAGAAGTAGACACGAGCTTCTTAAAACTCCCAAGTGATTTTGTTTATGGTCTCTCTGCAGCTAGACCCTGAAGCCAGCACCATTCTAAAAGAACTTCAAATTAAACTCAACGGGGTTCTGGATGAGCTCAGCGTCACCTACGGAGAGAGGTAAGCAGCCTAATTAGTTGTCTGACTGTGTCAGGGTTCATTTATAATGATCACTCATTTTGCTTCAAGACTTGGTCAAAGCCTCACCTTCTCTGAAGTCTTCCTTGACCCCAGGATCCAAGAGCAATGCCTTGCTGAAAGATATCTATGCATCCTTCGCTTTAGTGGTCCTTACAACATCAGGTCCTAGGCTTTAATGTACCCATTTACTTCCCTTGCTTTTATCCAAGGGCAGAAATCTGAGCTCATAAGCATTTGCAATGAGTGTGCACTTGCGAGCAGGGATTTGTGGAAACAATGGCGAGATGGAGGAAAAGTGAATGCTTATGTAAGAAGCGTACATTCTGCCCAAGCCTTGCATGTCATTGAACTTGTGCCTCAGAAGAGCAATACCCAGCTCCATAGCAGATTGCATCAGTGCGACTTAGGGTTCATGACCCCAACTACCTCATGAGCAAGAGTTTAGAAACTATGAGAAATTACGATCTCTATATTTTTAAAAGTCAACTAACCTCATCTGTGGTATGTTTCTAAAGAATGAGAACTTACCTAAATGAGCTTTAATCTACCCCCAAATGAGAGGGAAATCATTTTACTATCAATTATTAAAGCAGATGTAAATTAAATATATCTTTGAAGATGCTCATTAATTTAATATAAAATTTGTTTAAATATTAGTTCAATAAATGTTTGTTTATCAGTTTAAAATATGTGTTCCCTTTCCCATTGTAGCTACAAAGTTATCTTTAGGGCAAAAGCTTCCTGTTTGGATAGTCTTCATCTTCTATTGGGTTCTAGAAAGACAATTGATTTCTAAGCATTTAATGATTACTAAGGCCACATTTAACGAGAAAGACCAAAGGGACTCTGCTAGCCCTGTGTCTTTCAGACATCAGGATGAAGAAGCACAGAGAGCTCCAGGCTGAGAGTCCTCTTGATTCTGAGGCATGTTCTCAGGTTCTTTAAGCTGAGTAGTGTGTCGTGATGGATAACACTATCTCCACAGCTCAGACACAGGGCAGGAGCACCCTGGTTCTGTGGAGCTTAGGACATTTGTCTTCCCTCTGCTCTGCACTGAGCTCAGCGCATTGCCTCTGTGCTGTGTTGCTAGTGACCTTCACGAGCCTGTGGACTCAGCCTGACTGGGAATCAGAAAAATGGAGGTTTTCTCTGCCCTGAGTCTGAACAGCAGGAGTTGTTTCAGTGTTGCTCTCCCTGGAGGCGACAGCGATGGGGCTTTGGCTCAGCCGTCTCGGGCTTGCCTCCATTCTAGTTCTGAATGAAGGTGTTAACTGAATGTTAAATGTTAAAGAAAAAAAATGTTAAAGAAAAAATGCAAAGAAAAAAAGAGGTTACCTTCAGCTACAAAAGGCATCAAGACATTATTTAGCAAAGATAGAGGAAGAAAAAAGGAGTCTAATAAAGCGAGACCAGCTCATAACTTTACGGGAAATAAAATGGCTGAACAGAGCAGAAACCAATGCTTGACTCTTACATTTGCTTCTGTAAGGTGTCTAAATACTCTTGATGAGAAATTTTTGAATCTGTGTTTTGTTTAAGGGAGCAGAAAGCTGAATGTATTAGCAAGATTTATTATCCCATTGGTGCACCGAAGACTAAATTATGTACACAAACTTGGAAAAGTCAAGACAAACTTTGGTTATGAAGGAAAGATTGGTGCTACCAGGGCTGTAGAAGTACAATGTTTTTATAAGATTAAGTCTGAGGACTGTTTTATTCAAGTTTAAACGCCAGGGAAGGTGAACTGGAAGTCCCAGCACTTGTCTGGAGGAGGAGGGAGTAGCATGGAAGCCAGCCATGTGGTGGGAAGCATGAGGAACCCCAAAGTGTTAGGGGGAACGTGTTTAGAGCAGGGACAGAAAGAAGAGAGGGAACGGTTGGGCTTTTCTGGGTAATTCAGGAAACAGACTCAAGAAACTGCAGCTGCATTGCCGCAGCCCAGCAAGCTACTGTGTGGGGAAAAGCTAGGAAAAAAAGCTAACCCAGCAGTTATTTCACCTGTCTCTTCAACAAGGCTTAAAGTGAGCTCACCTTCCTCGGGGGGTGGTCTCACCTCCCTGATATGATCCTTTAAAACAAATCACTGACCCTGCCCAACTGGAATGCTAGATCTCCAACCCGGCTGGAAATTTCTTCCTCTTGACCAGAATAAAATGGTTTTTTTTTTCCTTAGTGGGTCTTTACGGCTACTGTGTCATCCAGCACAGAATATCATTTATTTTTATCCTACACACCAAAACTCACAGTTGCCCGGGATCCAATCTTTCATTATTTTTAAAATATCACGTCAAATTGAGTTCCATTAAGGTCATTTATGTTCTTGAAGAAGGCAGGCTACCCCTCATGCCTGCCTTGTAAGAAGAATAATTATTCTAGGCTGTTGCTATGATACGTCACACACAGGTGGGTGGGAAGTCCATGGCAAGCAGCATGATCATGTCACAGAGTCAGTCTGGAGAACTCCATGAGCCTGCTCCTCTCCCCTCTCAGGAACTCAGGCTGGAGCCTTACAAATGAGGGGAGAATTCGCTCCAGGAGCGCATCTCAAATCATTAAAAATCTCAGACCTTCCTTAGCACTTTTGACCATTAGGTTGGCTTTGTGATGATGCCAGAATGGAGGCAAACCCCAGTCTGAAGCCTTTCATGGATTCCTAGCCTGCTTCCAGTTCACCTGCCTCCTTCACAGGCCAAGTGATTTCATGTCAGTGGTAAATTAAAGATGGTCTAAGAGGTTCGAAACTTGTGCCCCTTAAATTTCTGCTTTTCCTCACATTGTTCATCTATTTTGGTTCAGTCCATTTCTTTCCTAGAACCGTTAGTACCGGAAGCTGACTGGATTAGGTGTAAATAATTCAAGGCTGTTTCTTAGGAACAGCCTTAGGAGTGTGTTTGGTTCCTTGGGTGCCCGAGGAGACTGCTGTCACTATTCACTTGTTCTCTTTATAGTCAAGCAGGTGAATAATGTCCTTTCCAAACAAAACAAAATAGATAAAGAAAAGACCTCGTAGGTGAATTCATTAAAAATAGGTACAGAGGGATATTCTGGCGAAATTATGGTTTGGTTTATGCTAGACTCATGCAAAAGTTGAATGTTTTTTTACATATCATCAGCACCATGAACTCTTCCTTCAGATGCCTGATCTCACAACCTGGCCGCTGACTAAGTTCACAGTCTAAATCTGCTCAGGAGTGTGCTTCTCACACATTAGAAACAAATTCTGTGTGCTTTGCTCAGTCTACCCCTTATCTCAGTGTACTGGCTTGAGAATCGAGGCAAGAAAAAGGTAACTACTTAAGAGGTGGCTACAGCCAGGAGGATTGTTGATGCGGCTGTGGTCAGTCAATCAAGTAGGTGTTTCTAACGCCTACTGGTATTCTATCATCGTCACTTCAAATATCTGTGACTATTCCCCTATTAAATAAACACATTGTTGCAAAGGTCATCGCTTGCCCTATGTCTTCCACCACCAACAGATCTAGCCACATAAAATTGGGGAGGGTTTTGAAATGATCAAGATGAGAGCCTGGAGGAGGTTATTCCAATGTGATATAAACAAGTACTGAAGGAGACACAGTCCTAGAGACCAGGAGCCAAACACAGATGTCAACTACGGAATGGTGTCCTGAATAGTAAAATGGTCCAAAGAGAAGCCTGGACCCAAAGACAAATAAGAATTAACATAATGGTGGGTATAGACCCTGACCTTGAGATATTAAGAATTAAAATAAGTGTTTATAAACCACTACTAGGAGGCCAGGCAAAGAAAATATACCCAAATTATCTACTGAAAGCTCCCTGTCTTTAGTAAAACCAAAACTTTAAAAAATTATAGACTTCATAGCCAAATAACTAAAATATTTTCACATTGTTAAAATGAAAGAAAGGTCTCATGTGCTGTGGAACAAGTAGTAATTCTTTTGTTCATTTGTGTGTTCTGAACCCTTGAGACCATGATTGGCACATAGTATGCATTTATTGAATATTTGTAAATATGTGTGCGTAAAAATCACATGTATTCCATTTAACTCAGACAGCAAGCAATATAGAGCAAAGCTACAAACCTCTATGATGCATCTGTAATCTTTCCGATAACAACCTGGGTTATCACTGTGTGGAGGAGAATGATGGGACTGGCTTGATTTTGATGCTGAGGTCAAGCCTACCCCAACCCCGCCCTCCTCATTATCACTCAGTAATTGAGCATTTCCCAAGCTTTTATCTCCGAAGTAGTTTTCCACACCATAGTGCATCTGTGTTATCCCTATTGTTAGTAGCACCTTAGTCGTGAGTGCCAAGCTTATCCACCATTTTAAATGCCCCCTCACACTCTCAGGTAAAGACCACCGGCATTCATACCAGAGACACAGAGAATGAACAGAAACTACAGTATGAGGCTGACTCTTCAGGCTCTTTAAACCTGAGTAATAAGACAAGAGGCAAGCAGAAGGAAGCACTCCGGGGGGGAGGGGGGCATTCAACCAATCCTTGCTTCTTAATAGCTCTGTGGTGGTGTCATCGATATATAAAACCTGTGTACATTCAAGGCACACAACTTGGTATTTCTAGATATGTAGAATTATGAGGCCATCACCACCTTCTACCTAATTCATATATCTGTCACATCTTCAGGGCTGCCATTTGTTTGTGTCAAGAAAACCTAATTTAAGATCTACCCTCATATTTTTGTCTGTATAATACAGCATTTTAAACTACTGTCCCAATGCTTCCTGGACCAACTACTTTGTCCCAGGCATAATAGTTTCTGCCACCGTGCCTGGATAGGGTCTTGCTCTGTAAGGATTTATATTTAATAGGGATAATAGGTAATAAACAGATCACTGAGTACATACTATGCGCATGCACAAAGATCAAGTAATGTGCAATACAGTTTAAAATATGCCCTGTGATTAGGGGCTGGAGACTCAAAGGGCTGTGACCTCAGTTTGAGTGTTCAGGGAAGGACACTGCAGAGGTGACAGCTGGGGCACGCCTCAGACAAATGAAACACCAGGGAGGCCATTAGAATTTCTATGGAAGAAGGGCTCTAACAGTGATCATATTTTCAGGGTGAAGTCAGACCTAGGAGTTAACAAAAGCTCCAGGGACGCTATTGTGCCTGGATAGCCACGAAGATCAGGGAAGAGTAGCAAGCAACGGTTCCCTGAAGTCACCCACAAGCCTCTCTTGTCCATTGCCATCCTTGAAATGGTTTCAGATTTTTCTCCAGCTGGCTTTGGAAGCTACTGAAACCTTGTAACATGGGCGGCAAGACCTGGTCTCTGCCGTGCAATGATCTGTCAAGACTTAGACAGTGACAGTTGTGAAGGCAGGCAATAGGTTGGTCAAATGAGCACATTTGGGAGCTTGTAAGTCCTCAGATTTAAGGGCACTCTGTGCAAGTTTGTGGTTGTTCAGGTGTTGTCGTAAGGAACCCAGACATCCACATGAACAGGTTCCACAAACACACAGCTTAATGAAGTGGTATAGAGTGCAGAGTGTAAACCAGGGCTACCCATGTCGATTTGAAACCAGATGTAATCATCAAGAAAGGGGCTCTTGGGCCAAAGATCAAGTCTCTGAGAGTCACAAAGCATAATATCTAAATGGAGCAGAGTTCAATTTTAATCCCACATAAATAGTGAGTCATTTTTAATGTAATTTTATCCCAAACAGTAGAATGAATACATTTACACCAAAATAATTACTATCTGAAATTCAACGTTAGTGGGCACTTTGTGTTTTCCTTTAATGACTGTGAGAACCCTAGATAGTAATAATCAGCCCACTGGAAGGAGTTGCCAAAAAGGCTAGAGAAAGCAAAGAGGGTATGGAGTTACAAGAAGTGGGGAAGAGGGTCGGTCCCAAACCCCATAGTCTCTCTAGAGCAGCCATTTCTCCAAATGCACTCAGGAACACAGCAGCTGTCAGAGATGACAGCTGAATGAACAACCAGGTGCACTGCCTGGCCTGAAGAGCATCCTGTGGTCTACTTTACATCCCGGGGTTCAAAGTATATGCTTATCACAACCCAAGATCTTACCTGGCTTAAGCCTAAGGGAAAGCCATTCCACTTGAAATGGTTCAGTCTCCTGGAAGTTGAATTCCACCTCAGGCAAAACAGCTACTTCTCCTCCAGAGTTTATGTTCTTTCTTTTCAGTTTCCAACTTGTCATTGAGGAGTGCATAAAGCAGATGGGTGTTGAGCTAAACCAAATGAGAGCCAATGGCACCAGCACAGCCAATAAGAACAGTGCGGCAATGGATGCAGAGATCGTTCTGAGACCGCTCATGGACTTCTTGGACAAAACGTAAGTGGTCAGCCCACTTAGTGTTTACTTGACCTGGAGTTTCTAAATGTGACTGATAATTCTGTAGGGGAAATTCTGGTTTCCTCTATATAAGGTTACTTTAAAAGGACTTCTGGGGAGATGGTTCAATAAATAAAACATTAGTCGGACGAGCATAAGGACCAGGGTTTGATCCCCAGCATTCATGTAAAACAGTCAAAAGAGATGGCTCAGGGGTTGGGAGGACTCTGAGGAATGACATCCTGAGATTGACATCTAGTTCTCACATGCACTTACGCATGTGTAGATGCTCCTACACACACACACACACACACACACACACACACACACACATTCATGCATACACAAATAGCTGAATACAAAAGGGAGCAGCATACTTTTAATTGATTAATATTTGTATGAACAAGAAAAAATGAGAGGAAAGTAGTATTGGTTACTGAGGGAGCTGCTGTTCCGAAGCAGAGGAAGGTTTCAAATTTCCTGCTCCTCAGCACATTGGTTTCCATTCTTTTGGGTATAGAGACCAAATTAAATCCAGAATATTTGATTTCTCATTAAAAACCTGCAGAAAAAGAAAATAGCACATGCGTGAATATGACGTTCAGCAAAGCCTGATATATTGGATGCTCACCTGTGTCCAACCAATCTCTAATCACTGGAAAGCATTAGAAAGAAAGCCCAAGCCCCCAGTGCCTTTGAGATTACAATCATCTGTCCAGGGAGTGGATTGGCATTGAGTGTTCCTAACAAAATCTCAGCTTGATTTGCTGGTCGGTTGGTGGATGTATTATGTTTTGTTTCCTTCTTATCTCTATACTCAACATTCTGATTTAATAAGTTTGTGGTAGGTCCAAGGGACTAATATTTTAAAATATATTCATAGCTCAGAACCACTTATTTTAACAACTAGCTAAATGATTCAGTAATCGGGATACCAGCTGAACATCCCTAAGTCAAAGGTCTCAAATCTGAAATATTCTAGAATCTGAGCCCCAGTTTCAAGGTTTCCAGCCTGGGGAGATAGTTCTGTGGTACAGGCTTTTCTACCAGGTGCCAGGCCCTGGGTTTGCTCCCCAGCATTGGAGAAAATAGGATTGGGATTTTGAAGCATTTTAGATTCCTATATATAAAAACTCTCCAAACTCAAAATTCAAAGATGGTGCTGCTTACAGACATTCCAAAAGAGGTACAGTTGAGCTGTGCTCAGGACCAGAGCTTATGGTGGACAAAGAAGTAAATATTAACTTTGAATGTATATGAAAGATCCATGTTGTATATGTAGTTTATATACATTATCTCATTTATCGTTGTGGCAAATTAACATGAGGATAAAAAACAGAGATCAAGTCTCGCAGGAATGAGTAGGAAGAACCTCTTCTACACAGTCATGGCCTCTTCCTTAACTCTATTTCCCCCGGTTATAACTGATTAAGACAAATTAATTTCCTAATTAATTTCCTGTTAAATTAATTTCAGTAGTTGATAGAAAAATTGAGTCTCTCTCCCTGTTCTCTGTGGGTAAGAAATACTGTGGAAGACAGCAAGATGGTAGTACAGTGTGCAGCAGATAAATAGACAGGGGGCTGTATAGAAAAGTAGGAAGCAAGGAAGGAAATGGAGATGATAGGAAAGAGAAAGGGCTTTTCCACATTTTTAGTTTTGTTAGTGCAGAATTTTATTATATTATCTGCTAAATGTCCCCTTGGAGTTTATTTTGCTATGAAGCTCTTCTCTGGCAATACAGAGTTCAGTCCCTACAACCAGTGGTTGAATCCAGTGGTTATAGACAACAGGACTGAGCAATCCTGACTCTCTTACCCCTCGTGTGGGATTCCTTTACGTTTCAGAATGCCAATCAATGGGTAGAGTCATCATTTTTTTACTAGCAAAACTATTTGTTTTAAATACTCTTAAATACTCTGCAATCAAAAGTTATAGAGTATATGGTATATCTAGGTAATTCCAATAATACCAATGGGCCAGCTGAGTAATATTTGGATCTATATTACCACTTATAAAGTACAAGAATGGAAAAAGTGAGTTCATTATTATTTTAATACATTTATATAAGCTCGTATTCTTTTAAAAATATGTATTTTGTGTATATAAGTATTTACCTGCATGTGTGTGCATGTACTGTGCACATGCAAAGTCTATGGAAGCCAGAAGAAGGCATCAGACCTCCTGGAACTGGAGATACAGACAGCTGTGAGCTGTGGTGTAGGTGGTGAAAATCAAACCTGGATCTTCTAGAAGAGCCATCAAAGCACTTAACCACTGAGTCACCTTTCCAGCCCCTATTTCACATGCCTAATACTCCACATGTAATTATAGTAGATCGTAGCATCCTATGTGGCCTTCCTTATTGTTATTAGCAAGATGAGATTGTGTATAATTAAGTCAGAAAAGAACTACAACCTTTCAAAATAAGTAGGAATTATTTAGCACTATTTAAGAGAGAGGTGGTTGTATGAAACATGGAAAGTTGGAAAGGTTCTTTGGGCTCTCAGAATGCGTAACTTTAAATTGTTTGGAAAATGCTCTAAGGTGTGCCTATAGCCCAATCTTATGGAGGCATTTTTTTTAAATTGAGATTCCCCCCTCTCAGGCTTTAGGCATGCCTTAGAGCATTTTCTTAATTACTGATTGATGGGGGATTTCCCAGTCCATTATGAGTGATGTCATCCTGGACTGATGGTCCTGGGTTCTACAAGAAAGCCGACTGAGCAAGCCATGTGGAGAAAACCAGTAGGCAGCATCCCTCCATGGCCTCTGCATCAGCTCCTGCCTCCAGGTTCCTGCCCTGCTTGAGTTCCTGTCCCGACTTCCTTGGATGATGAACTGTGATGTGGAAGTATAAGCCAAATCAACCCTTTCCTTTCTAGTTGCTTTGTGCCTGGTGTTTTGTCATAGTCATGGTGACAGTAACAGAGACAAAGACGTTTCATAATAAGACAATAATTCTGCTCCCAAGGCACTGATAATTTTGGAAGAGAGAGAGAGAAGGAAATGTACATAAACGACATAAAGAGGGGCAGAGGGACAGTCTTTTCAGAGAGTGGGAATGTCATTTGAGCTAGGCATTTAAAGGCGGATAGGATCTGAATGAACACAGCTGGGGAACAGACACGACAGGAGTGGAGAAACGTGACTGGGTACATTTCCATGAAAAGTAGGACCAACTATGTAATGAAAAATTCCCTCTGTCAATTGTTCGCCTGGCATTTGAAAAATGTCTATTTAATTGGTTCTATATCCAGTCAATCTAGAAAGTTCAAGTCACAAAAGTCTATGTTTTATGGCTTGTGTTGTGAAGTTGACTACATCGGCCTACCTTAAGGAAGCAGTTGCTGGATTCCTCCTTTGGTTTTCATTACCTAAAGCAAACAATGGGGGCCTGAAGGTCTTCAAGGTCATTTTGAGAAAATCCCTGTAGAAATCACGTTGTACTATGCTATACCTCTATAAATAAAACATTTCTTCCCATTTCCCTTTCTCTGAGCTCCAAGCACTTCCTAAAACGGACTGTGAGCTCCATTTCCAGACAACAGAAACCTACAAAAAGCTATTTGTGTGCCTTTTGTTTTATCCATTTCTTCTTTGGCTCCCATCTAATCAAGATGAGTTAGCATGTCCAGTGCATGAGCTAACAAAACAGCATCAGCTCTTCAGCTTCGACCTTTTGAGGCTAAAAATTCTAAATCCTCAGCAAAATGGGCTCCCGCTGTGCTTAGAATGTCTGTGAAGATGTGCGCCTGTGTACTTAGTTCCTCACTGTCTCGACCCTCAGTACTGACTGACTGAAGCTGACACTCTTGACACCAGCCTCCACATACCCACAGGGGGTTGTTTTCAAGTACATTAGGTTTCTATTATAAAATAGAGCTAGGAGGAAAACTTCTATAGGAATATTTACTTTAGCAATTTTCCCTTTTTGTATCTATTTTAATTAGTTAAACATCATTTACTCTTTTTTGTCCATGTCTTCTAGTGTGGAAATGCTCAGTTCTGCCTATAAGAGCCACCACCAGTGTTGTTATTTCTGAGCCCTAAAGCACTAACAGAAGTCAAGGGGCTACCAAGAGACACATGCCCTATGTCAGCCTCATTGTTTCAGGGTCAAATCACTGTCAATAAAGAGGTCCTCAGTGAGCCCAGAATCATATTATAGGAAAGTTTCATTGTTGTCTCCCTCTTCTCTGGGCTATCATTTGTGAGGACATGCAGGATGGATGGTACATGGTGCTGAAAGATGCGCTTGACTTAGAAACACCAGCCTGACTAAGGTCTCACACCCTAGCTTTGGACTAGCTGTTTTACCTGCTTTGAACACATCTCTAAATCTCTCCGAGCCTATGTTTTATTTCTAAAATGAGCATTATCAGTTAAAAACTATGTACAGGAGAGTCTTGTAGAAAAGGATGTGTTTAGCATTACACAAACACCAGAAAATGTTACTCCTAATCTCACGTGAGGAAAGCTTGTGAGATACAGCTTGCCTGTTGGTGTTAGCAAACTCTGGATCTTGAGTGAATTGAAAGGGGTGTGTGTGTGTGTGTGTGAGAGAGAGAGAGAGAGAGAGAGAGAGAGAGAGAGAGAGAGAGAGAGAAAGGGGGGAGAGGGAGATTGTCAAACTGGTTCACAGCCCAAGAATGACAGCAGCAAATCCTGGTGTGGATATGGGGAAAGGGAACCCTTACATACACATTGCTGGTAGTGCAGACTATCCAACCACTATGAAAATCAGTATAGAAAGATTTGCGTGTTCCAGCTATACCACTTGCAGGGACATACCTGCGAGGACCCTAGTTAGCGTGCCAGAGGGACGTATGCATCTGTACCTGTTGTAGCAGCCTCCATGGCAGCCAAGTTATAAAACCAGCCCAGGTGTCCAGCAACAGGTGAACAGAGGAAGAAAACGTGACACACACACATGGAAACACACTATGGAGGTTTACTCACCAGTAAAAAGAAAATTTGTTACTTGTAGGACAATTGATGCAATGATTTTTTCTGATTTCATTTTTCTCCAAATAAACTGAATCATGTCATGGGCAGCATGACTAATATATTTACATATTATGTATATTATATGTTAGATATCTTTTCCAATAATTATATATATAATATATTATATATAATATATATAAATATTATATATATATAATATTTTCCATACATCTGGTCAACCTTGTGGCCTGGTACATAGCTGAGACTCAAGAATGAATGACCATCTAATCTTGTTTCAGATTAAGTCTTTCAGCAAAAATCTGTGAGAAAACGGTCCTGAAGCGAGTTCTGAAGGAACTCTGGAAACTAGTTCTTAACAAGATAGAGAAACAGATCGTCCTCCCTCCGCTGACAGACCAAACAGTACGTACCTACAGTGTGCCATCCTCCCACGCTCAGCTTCCTATTTGATCGCCTTTTGTTCAAATGAATAGTTTTGGCCCAGCTGAATATGAATTAAATCCTTTTAGGGAAGGTTTTCCTTAGTTAGTATATGAATTTTTAACAGTAGTTGATCAAAGAACATTTTTCTTTCTAAATCAATTTTTAAAAATGAAAGTAGCTATCTAAATTCATATTTAATTGCCATTTCAAATTTCCATCTCTTAATAAAAAATAAGTCAAGGGGTCTAGCAATGCAGCTCAGTTGGTAGAACACTTGGCAAATGTGCACAAAGTTCCATCCTGAGTTCCATCCCAGCACCCCATAAATTTGGGTGCAGTGGGGCACACACACATTCTAACTCTGTGGAGGCAGAGGCAGGAGTATCAGAAGTTCAAGGTCATGCTTGGCTACATAAGGAGTTCGAGGGAGGGAGGGAGGGTGGAAGGGAGAAAGGGCAAGCCTAACTTTAATTTGTAAAGTTATCTAGTTATATATTTTTAATTATATTTAATATAAGATGTTGAGAACAATACTTACTATATATACTATTATATATACTCACTATAGTTACTATAAATACTATATATTTAATATTGCTTCAAATCCACAGAGAACATGCAGGGTTCAGATATAGCCATTGTGCTTCTTAAATGTTACCGTTTAGAAAAGAAGGTCTATCCAGTGCAGTCACGTTGAATTTTTTTTCACCTCTCCTTTCAACTTTCATTTGTTGCCTCCCTGCTTGGAGGTTAATAGAGGAGATGGCTTTCTGTGGATTTGAAAGGTTTGATTGTATCGCCCGCAAGAAAAAAGAAACCAGAAAGATCAGCCGGCCGTGAAGCTAGACAATGGCCAAGTGGTCACACAGTGCAGCCTTTTCAGGTCACACATGCTGAACCAAGCAATTAAGAGAAAAAAAAACAATCAAGCTAGCATTTGGGGTAACTGATTTTTTTTCCTATGTGTGACTAAGAAAGATAAATGGATGTAAATAATAATTATAAAGTACACTAAAACACATATCAACACTATTAATCATGTATGCATGGTCCTTATGTATCCTATAGCGGAATATATGCAGAAAATGTTTGCTTGTAAGGTGGGCCAAGATGTAAGATAAAGATGTTTTTGTTGACTTAACTCTTAGCTATGAATGTACAGTTTCTTCATTTATAGCCTACATCTGTGGACAGTCAAATCACGTACAAATATGAAAACACACAGAAGTCTTATTCTGCTATAATAACTAGTATATTTAATAATGTCACAATGCAATGATGGCCTCGGTCAGCAGGGGAGTGGTAACAATGGGGTGGTGTCTGTGGAAGTTCCCTATGAGCAGAAACATGGGAGAAGCTCTCAGTTAGCTACCGCACAGACCTGGATCAAGAGAACCAACTATGGAGCCTCTTCTGGGTAAAAGGACGCACCCAGCAGGAAGGCTGCGCTCCCATGCATGGGAGACTGTGTGCTGTGCTTGGAGAACCACTTCACACATACAGCCCTAGCTGCATCCAAGTCCCCAACTGGACTTGAATATTTGTTTATTTTACATTTTAATCATTCCCTAAGGAAATCCACACTTCAATCTCTTAAAGGAACATCTTTTTAAAACATACATTTACTTATTTACTTACTTACTTATTATATCTCTGTGTGCCTTTGTGGAGATCAGAAAATAGTTTTTTGGAAGTTAGTTCTCTCCTCCTTCATGTGGGTTGGTGGGGATCAAAGTTGGATCATCAGGCATGAGGAGAACTTCCTTTACCTGCTGAACTATTTCCACTGGTCCATGATTATTTTTAACGGTTCTTTGGTGAAATTTTCTTGGCCTTATGCTATCTTGCCCACTGTTACTTTCTGCATGAGGGCCACTACACTGGGCAATTTTGAAGACTATTGGGTTTTTCAGAATATACATATAATGTTGCATTAGAAAAACCACATGAAGCATTTCATTTCCAGAAAGTCTTTCCTGGGAGAGTGTATGATGATCTCATAGCTCCCTAGAACTGACATCTGCAAGTGTGGAGCTGTTTCATTCTATCATCATGACCAAGTAGCACCCAGGCTTCTAATTAATGTGTTCTAGGCACTCTACTTGCTACTGAAAATAAACAGAATTATTCATGTTCCCTATGACCATGCACTCTGCAACGGAAAAGGAATATAGAAGATAGTTGAGAATAACCTATTCCCTCACTGGGACTTTATTCCCAGCTGCTGGCGAATTTGGCCAAACTCAACAGTTTTCCAGTCACATACAGCAACAGACTTGCCACAGCTATCTCATTTAGGAGTGCTCTGGATGGCTAATCCAGTAATTTCCAGATTGGTTGCTGCTGTTTGTTTGGTTGGTTTTTGTCGGACCTGATGTTCTAGGGGAATCTGGAGTTGAGGAGAAGGAGTCAGGGAGGTCTCTGGCAGATGCTACACCATTTTAGGAAGAACACCCCTACCTTCTGAAGCCTAATATCTTAGGATTGCACACACATATATTTTGGGGAGTGGAGTGAGGGGAGAGCCTCTGTAAAAAACTACTTAAAGTTTTATCCATGTGCTTCATTAAACTGATTACCTGCCCTTCAGCTACTTCCATAACCCAGACGTAGCATGCTCAGAAGTGAGACATTCATGCTGACTGGCTTGCTGCCAGCCTTGCCAGATAACCTCTGTTCCATCTTTAGAGTAGACCCATTATGCACCTCTGACATAAAACCCAAAATATCATAACGGAAATTTTAAAAAAGACCCTGGTTTGAAATTGAACTCTACTACTGAAGATCTAGTGACCTGGTCTTCCTTTTCTTGTTCTCTGTGTGTTTCCAGGGACCTCAGATGATCTTCATCGCAGCTAAAGATCTTGGTCAGTTATCCAAACTGAAGGTAAGAAGCTTGAGGAAACTGGTTGGCCTTAAGTGATGACCTAACTATGGCTCTGCAGATGCCACCCTCCTGCTAGGAAGGGCACCTAGCAGTGCAGGCTGAAAGCATGCATACCTATAACAATACATTTGCTTTAAGGGAGGGAGGACAGATTGTAGGAGCTAGAGGGGTCAGGGACATCACAGAAAAACCCGGAGAAATGGCTTGCCTGACTCATGGGGACTCACAGTCTGAACCAACAATCAGGAAGCCTGCATGGTAACAACTTAGTCCTCTGCACATATGTGACATGTGAGTAGTGTAAACTGAGACTACACATTCATTTCCCAGATGCCCAGACCCAAATAATTACACAGAAACTATATTAATTACAACACTGTTTGACCAATAGCTTAGACATATTCCTAGCTAGCTCTTAACTCTTAAATTAACCCATTTCTATTAATCTGTGTATTGCCACGAGACTGTGGCCTACCAGTAAGTTTCCAGCATCTTTCTCCTTCAGCAGCACATGGTGTCTGCCTTCTTTCTCCCTGCATTCAGTTTTTCTACCTAGCTCTATTCTGCCTGTCCATAGGCTAAAGAAGCTTCTTTTTTAACCAATGGTAACAAAACATATTCACAGCATACAGAGGGGAAACCTACATCAAAGAAGCTTGGTCTATATGTGGGATTCCTGGCCATAGGAACAAAGACTGTCCCTGGTTCTTTGGCTGACTCTTGGGAACCTATTCCACATGCTGGATTTCCTTGTCCCGGGGGAGGTGCTTTGTCTTTTGTCAGCTTAATATGCCATGTTTTGCCCATAGGATGCCTGCCCCCTTTCTGAGTGAATATGGAGGAAGGTAGACTCGGGGGTGGGGGGAACAGAGAGGAAGAGGGAGGGGAGGCTGTGGTCAGGATGTAAAATTAATTAATTAATTAAAATTTTAAGAAGTCTCTAACATTTAGGGCTAGGGAGATTAAGTGGTTAAGATCAGTGGTTAAGAGCACTAGATGCAGAGGACCTGGATTCAGTTCTCAGCACTCTTAGAGTGGTCCACACTCATCCATAACTCCAGTTCCAGGGGATCTGATGCCCTCTTCCGGTCCCTATGAGCACTGTACATATGTGGTACACAGACACACATACAGAGAAACACTCATACGTATAAAGTAAAAAGAATTTTTTTCAAGAAATTCTAACTTTGGAAGCAAGTAAGTGGACATATTTGCATTACTATATTGAATATGCTTTGGATAAAGGTGAAATGCAATACTGCATAGAGCCAGTGAAAACTATAAATCTCTTAAAGAACACAGTAAAGGAAAATGAAATTCATCAAAAAGGACCTTAAACTCACAAACATATTCACCTCTCCATTACAAGTGAGAATTTATTTACAAAATAGTCTTGCCCTTAACTATCACTTGGGATTCACGAGCTTTTGAATATCTGTAGGATACAAACGTCTCTGGTTAAAATACATGCTGCTTCTGTTCTGTTCCAACCTACTAAGGTATAGTTCAGGATGAGCTCCAGACATGGAAGGCGGGTTTAATGTTTTTCTAAACTGCATTCCACAACTTAAACACTTAGCTTTCCAGTTTGTAAATGTATTTTCTAAATGTAGATTTTAAATTTAAAAATGTAAATGTTTTTAAAACTCAGAAAAAAATGTAATACTTGATTTTTAGAAAGGTGGTGAACATCATGCCACCTCCCACATTGCCTCCAGCTGGTAGCTCAGAGACAAGTGTTGTGGGTATTGTTTTATATCACAATACCAAGAAAAGATAATCAGCTTGCATAATTATTTACTGATATAAGATGCATGCCTATAATTTCAGTATCCTAATGTTATCATCGACATTACTTCTTAAAAAGACATAACCATAACCTAAAATTGCTTCCCACAAGTGCTCAGTGCTATAGATGGCTAAGACAGAATATGTAAGTAGATATCAATTCTAAACTGCTGTTTAGATTCTTAGCTCTATCTTCCTTTATCATTTTTATTTAGCACACTGGGATTTCTGGACCCTACCTTGAAAAATAGGTTAATAAGGGTCTAAAGTTTGTCATATAAAACCATGAAGATGAAACAGTTTAAATCCTATTACAAAAGAATCTCCCCTAACCATGTGTCCAGCATCCATGTATTTTGAACACATTCTATTGCCCAAGTTTCTGTGTTCTGAGTAGAATGTTATATTGGCTCTGTTTGCATCAACTGACAGAAAGGCCATGTAGTGTAAGCAGAGAGTGGAGTTGTTGTTAGCTGAGATCTGATGGATCAGGCTGACTCTAGTTTCCATGATGCTTGATCAGGGATTTTAACCATGGCGTGAGACCCTGTACCTCATCATCTCTCAGCGTGGCACCTCCCTCTGTTGGATGGATCACACACACACACACACACACACATGCACACCTTCCCAACTCTGTGTCAGGAATTCCAACGAAGTCTACAGATGCATTAGTACACCGTTGGTTCTGAGGAAATGTCTTCATCAGTTGTTTTGTCCTGAGAAATGGTATGGGCCAGTTGTCTTAACTCACATACCAGACCCTAAGATAGAAATGCAGTGAACCAGTCCATACCTTATCCTTTGTTTAAAATATAGATTGGATCCCCAGAAAGGCTGTGTGCCTTCTGGGTGGGAAGAGAAAAGGTACATAGACTGGAAAACAAGCTAGTGTCCTTTGTAGCCCCCAGTCATTTGCATTTTGGTGAAGACTCTTAATTACCAAAGGAGAACTACGGGTAAGGGTTATTACTTCAACACTGAGGTAACATGAAGAACTACAGCAATAGAGAAAACCTGGTTCCTGCTCTGATATTGGGTCTTTCTATAAATCCTCTACAGTCTTTTGCAAAGCAACAAAACTGCAGCTAACAGGAAGAACTTCATACACAGCAAACCTAATCACTCCAATGTGACTAGGACATCATTTCCTTCAAGAAGGAATTTAAGTTACTTATATTTTTAAGATATTGGTTTGAAAGCAAATCCAACTGGAATGCCACTAACACAAAAAGTTGTGCTGATGTATAATTTCAGAATTCAGAGAGAAATAGACATAGATGGGTAACTATTTCATTTAAAAGAACCCCAAATCAAGAAAAATCGGGCCAGAAAATAATTGATTTTCTGTACTAGTGCCCCAGTTCAATTTTTCTTGATTCTACTTCTTTCAATCTAATCTATATGATTTCAACCTAAACTACTAGGTATTTACTGCACAGTTGACATATGACTTTGTTATTCCTACTTTGAGACTTTACGTGTGTGTTATGTTATGTTGGCTTTTCGACTTAATAGGATCAGATTTATTTGACTGAAAAATAAAATTAAATGTCCCCCAATCTTTTAAACTGTTGATACAATATCAAAATCACTTAATAAGATACACATGAAATTATGAGTTAATCACAAACCTCTTATTTAGGCAGAGACACCTTTACTTGAATGAACTATAATTATAGCTTTGTGGAAGCAACATATATTATTCGCTAGTATCTATTTTAAAATACTGACAAACACAGGTTTTGATGAGTTTGCTGAGCATTGCTAAATAGAATGGCACAGCCCTGAAGATAGCACCAAGGTGCAGCAGCACTCTTTACATTTTTCTCCTAGAAAAATTTTTTGAATTATTATTTTTTCTAACTTCCTATCATCACTTTCACAAATAATCTTTGAATAATGGCTTGAGATATAGTACAACAATTAGGAAAATATAGTTCGAAAATCATCCTGAAGCATTAAAATTACTGTAAAAGACTGACCATCTCTACAGCCCAGTTTGATTTATTCTTTGAGGCTCTTCCCAGTAAGGGGCAGACATCAGGAGGATCTGGGAAAGAGAGTCAAGCGGGATATTGTAAGTCACTGAATCTGTGCTGACTGCAAAGCTCAACCTGGCCTCTTTAATCCCCTTGCTGTCCTGAATCCTTCAGAGGGACAGAACAGAAATCAGGGAATTAGTGTGAAAAGCCTTTGGGACACAGTATTTAGGTTGCTTTGTCTTTTTATTTAATATTAATTTGGAATGTAAATAAAGTATGCCTCTGTCAGAGTTCCACTTCTAATCAGGCAGCTGAGCTCCCCTTGACAAATGGATATTTATCCAAAATGTGACAAAAAGGCCAAGATTTACCTTTATTTTAATATGTATGAGTGTTTTCCCCTCATGTATCTAAGAGTACCATGTGCGTACAATGTCTTCAGAGGCCATAAAAGGGCACCAGACACCCTGAAACTGGATTTAGATTGTTGTGAGCTGCCATGTGGGTGCTGGGAACAGAACCCAAGTCCTCTGCAAGAGCAATAATTACTGTTACCCTCTGAACCACCTCTCCAGCCCCTGAAGAAGGTATCTTTACTGTTTCTATGTGGGAACAGTCCAGATTTTGTTTGAAGGTAGCTAGATAAATGCATTTGTCACCTGATGAGGGTTTTTTTTAACCTGTCTTTCAGGAGCACATGATTCGAGAAGATGCCAAGGGTCTGACGCCAAGACAATGTGCGATAATGGAGGTGGTCTTGGCCACCATCAAGGTAGGATATGGTGTTCCTGGATATTTCCTGAGGATACCTCCATCTCTCCACAGTAAGGTCCCCACTGTGCAACTGTCCCAGCTGCAATTGGGAGCTAGCCAATTAGATGCATTCCAGCTAGCTCCAGCTCGTTCATCTCCCTTACTTCATCCATAACACACTTTATTCTACATTTCTTGTTCCATGTCTCTCTAGAAAATGTGAATGAAACGTATATCATCACATGTGTTCTCAGAGAAAGATAAGTAACCTCCACCCCCGCCAATGCAGTCAAACAGATGGTTCAGGAGAATTTTAGGTTAGCATACTTTGTACTTAGGATTTCTATGGTTGCAGAAATAATTTTTAAAACATCAACCTCCTACTCTCTCTTAGTAATACAATAAAATTTCACTTTGTATTTCACTGAAAACCCAGAAGTCTGGTACTCCAAACATTATTCCCATATAGCAAGTATTGTAGCAAGAGTCAAATGTATATGGGTTCCAATATATTTTCTTTCCAAATAACATGTGTATTGTATGATTAGGTGTGTATGTGACTCTGTTGTGCTGTGTGTGCATGTATATATTGTGTGTAATATGTATGTATATGTGTGTTATATTGTGGTCTGGGTACGTAGGTATGTGTTATGTACTGTGTTGTGTGGGAGAGAGACTCTGTGGGGGTATGAGAGAGAGACTGCACATTTGTGGTTTGGGTGTACATATGTGTATGGAAAAAAAACAAAAGAGAATGTGTGTTATATTTATCAAAGGATTAGAAAAGTAAATTTACTTCATAAACCATGTCTATTGATTCCACTCCTCATTGGAAAAAGCATTGACCATATAGCCTATCTCTTTGGCTACGATGATCACCCCACCTCATTGTCCTGAGTCCTGTGCCACCTCCACTTCATCTGGTATTATAAAATGATATGGAAGGGTGACAACAAAAAAAATACAGGAAGAATTTCAAAACTAATTTTTTCTGAAAGTTTTCAACAATTGAATAAAAATTGATGGATGTGTGGAATCAGGGGAGTACTTGGCTATCAAGAAATCAGTTCTAGAAAGAAGAAAACATGCTAGAATGTATTCTGAAAATGAAAGAAAATTTTAGGATTTGAGTCCAGCCCCTCCTGGAGTTTTCTAGAGATCATGCTTTTGGGTGAGAAAAATGGAATGTGATCTACAGGGGGTGTAGATCAATGTATTGATCAGTCTGACACCTGCCTCTAATCTTATCATCTTCTGACTATTCTGACTGGGGCACATGTCCACCACCTGCAGGCTGAATTCTCCCTCAGATGAATCCCTTCTATCAACATCGCAGTGTTTCAAATATCCTAGCATTTGTAATTGGTGTAAATCTTTTAATTCAGCTCAGCCACATGGCACTGTGGGTTCTTTAGAAACAAAACTCCTATGTGTTGCCCATGACCCTGTTAGCTGTTTCCAAATCATCATCACTCTCCAGGACTGGAGTCTGACTGGTCCTCCGGAGCCTGTGGCTTCCACATCCCCTCATCCCTAATTTCTATGATGTCAATTCTTTCTCTAGGAATCACCCTGTTAGGACCACTGTGTCCTCTAGGAGAGTCTCCTAACCCAGTGGTCTATCTGCCTCAGTTTTTACCTAAATTCCATCATCAGTTTTCCCAAGCTGTAACTTCACAGGCTAAAGCTTCCATGTTTGTCTAGAACCCAATCAGAGAAGTCTCCAATACAACTGAGCCTCGGGAGAAAGATGTTCTTATAACAAATCAGCAGGTACCACTGGGTTGACTCCCAAAGGCTGCCCAAGGGAAGACCCTTCGTCCTTCCTCGGGTCAGTTAAATCCAATAAGCTAAGGACGGGAAAGGAGTGTTGAGGAGAGCGCTGTGGAGTTGGTAAAAGACAGGCAGAACTGGTGTTGGCATTTGCCAAATCTTTCTCATGTGTGTGCTTTGCCTCATTTGATTCTCATAAATGCCATGCATGTTAGACTGAACAAATTCCTATTCCCCTTTTCCCCAGTCCTAGGCAACACCATTATTTGTATTCAAGATCCAGCACGATAGCTAAGCATGGGTTCTGAATGACACTGCATGCCTCTGAAATTCCAGCCATTACTCTTCTCCATTATCCAATTTCAGTGACAACTTCTCAGTATCTTCTTTTTATCATTGCACGGTGTTCAGACTTTACACAGTCTGTGCATCATTTAGAATTCAGCTGCTTATGGGAAGAATATAATAACCTACCTCATCTGAAGCGCTGCAATTCAAAAGTCATTACCTGAGAGCTCACTGTACATGGAAAGGGGGTGAATGATGAAGAAGGAAGTGGAAACCAAGGCTCTTTGAATTAGGGACAAAAATAGCAACAATCAAGAAATAGAAGTATTTGGTCAAAGTCCAGGGGGACGCAAAAAAAGTAGTGAATGAGTTCTCTCTAGAAGTCTGTGGCAATGTTTTCACGGGGAGGAATACTGGTGGATTTAGGGACTGAAGAGAGAATAAATGGAGAGAAATAATCTCTCAGGTCTGAGAGGATAAGTGTGAGTGCTCAGAGGGAGTGTATCACCAGCCTGAAATCCTCAGACTGTCTAGACGAAGGATAGACCATACTTGACCAAGTATCACAAAGCAAGAAAGGGACACTAGATTGAGGCTACAATGCCCAGATTTAAACACCAAAGTCAAGAATCTCAACTTCAATTTGTCAGGAAAAAGGAAACTCTGAAAGATAGTGAGATCAGCAGTTCTGATCTGATGCATAAAGAGGAATCAAGATGAGCCAAAAATAACCTTAGAATATCAAGCAGGGCCTAAAAGACCCTCTCCAGAGTAAAGTGAGGCAAAGCTTGTAACTAAGTCTGTGGAGGGAGTTACCTGTGTGGGCTTGCCAAATGTATGCGACAGTTTAAAGTCAAAGCCATGGTGATGAGAATTTGCAGCCAAAAAGCACATGGGTCTAAACAGGGAACTCTCCTTGCAGACTTGTGAAAGCAAAGCATTTGCATGTTCCAGTGCATCAATACAAACAGACTGTGAGTGGTCAACAGCAAAGAGCCAGAAGGGGTCATGGGATTTTATCGGGATTATGAAAATGGTTTGCTCCACACTCCAATGATATTTTTCCTGATTTTATATTTAGTCGTATGATTTTCTTCTCACAAAACACAGCCAGGTCTGAAGTGCTTTGCTTTCTGCAGTTTCTGAAAACAGGGTGGTGGGGGATCTCCAGCTACGTGTAAGATTGAGCGCATGGTGCTTCAACGCTAGTCAGCTTCTAGCCAGCGAGGCTAGATCCGCCCACCCTGGTGTCAGCGAAGCCACAGCTGTAAGGTACCTGAGAGGAAGCTGTGTCGGAAGATGACTATGGAGGTGCATACACATAAAATGGTTGGAATCCTGGAGGAAACTAGGTCACTGGTGGGTAGAACATCAGGATAGTGGGTGACTCACATCTAATAGTCCCACCGCCTGTTGCCTGGAGGTTCAGTAAGAGACTAGGTGGGTTCTCTCTACAGGATTCAGGGTGCACACTCTTCATAAAGGTTGACTTTTATGTCCCCCGAGGGTGAAAGTGTGCTTCTATTTATCATCAAAGCCAGGGTCCCACGCATTCCATCAGGGCCTTCTGTCAGGGCCTTCCATCTTCCTGGCGGAGCGCCAATAAGTCTGATTCTTTTCCCAGGCCGTGGGTCAGAGTCTTAGGGTCTAGGTCACTGGCCTTCTGCTTTACTACTCACCACAGCACATTCTCCCTGTAAGAGCACTAACCAGTGGGGTTCATTAACCTCCCCCACCTCAGAAATGTCCCTTTGGGAAGCCCTGTTGTCCCTTCCCTGAGGGGTTGTCTAGTCTAGACTAAAGGGTGAAATCTAATGTGAGTGGATGTTAACTTAGGGCAGGGTAAGAGGTGGGGCAGGTGGTTCAATAACAAACTGAGCAGCACCGCCGAAAGTGCTCAGAGGGCTGAAGAAATGGCCCTGCGCTTAGGAGCACCTGTCTCTTCAGTAGGCTCTGAGTTTGGATCCCAGCACCCACTTTGGTTGCTTATAAACATCTATAACTCCATTTTGAAGGGTTCCAGTGACCTTTTGTGCATACACAGACAGACACACACATTCATAAATAAAATAAAATCTTCTTTGAAAGGGAAAGAAAGTAGTCACGATTTAGAAAATCTCCTCAACCAGGAGAGGTCAGAAGTTTGGGGAGAGCTGCTGTGGTCTGGAAGGCTGTATGGGAAGTCACTGGGTTGGTTAGACATTTTATCTAGGAAAAATTCATAGCATAAACATATGCAAGAAGAAAGGAGTTCCCATAGGCTCAAGCAGGAGTATAGGGTCCAAAGGAGATCACTTAGAGGCCTGGGCTGGACCTTACTGGAAGTTGGTATACTGAAGCAATGTAAAGTGGGATTGGTTGGCATTAAATGTCTGGGTTGAAAGTCAAGTCATTTTGTGTTCTTGGTATACTTATAAAAAGAGGACTCATTGATGGCCTGAAAATATGACTTCCTACAAGTATCATTGCATCATAGCATCTTAAGAAAATGTGTAAAATAGATTGTATAGTTCAAGATCAAGTCAGGGATCGGTTACAGCTGGCCATAGATTAGGGCAACCGTCAAGAGGGTTGTAGAGTAGCAAAATATTACAGTGCCATATGAGTGCCATGATGAAGGAAGAGACACTGGGACTTGCAATGAGCTGGGGGACAAGGGGGGAAAGTATCCTAGGCTAACCCGGAGGTTTAAGAATGTAGGTAGAGCCATGATCTTTCTGCCATTTCATTTAGTAAATACAGACTTATAGTTTCAGAGTATTATGATTTTGCTGTTATAAGAAGGCCGCTTGTTCATTTCCCGTCCGCCCAGACTCCTGTGGGCCGCTTGGTCATTCCAGCCACTCAGCAGCTCAAATCCGAAATAATCACACAGAAACTATATTATTTAAATCACTGCTTGCCCCATTAGCCCTAATTTCTTGTTGGCTAATTCTTACATCTTAATTTAACCCATTTCCATTAATCTGTGCATCACCATGAGGTTGTGGCCTACCAGCAAAGTTTCAGCATGTCTTTCTCCAGGCAAGGCACCATGGCTTCTTTCTGACTCTGCCTCCTTTCTCCCAGCATTTAGTTTAGTTTTCCCCACCTATCTAAGTTCTGCCCTATCAACAGGCCAAGGCAGTTTCTTTATTCACCAATGGTATTTGCAGCATACAGAGGGGAATCCCACATGTTGCCACTACCATTATCATCCTTGTAATAACCTTGAGATTTGCCTCAACCTCAAGGACATATTTGTCAGGTGTGCTTTCTTCCTTTGTCATTCCAAGTACATAGCAGAGCATCAGACAACACAAGGTCAGGCACAGGAAGTGTGGAACCTAGCTGGCATCTGTATCCCTTGGGAACAACCAACTTTCCCACAGTGCCCCAACAGGGATTCAAATTTTCTTTTGTTTAATAAGAAAGAACTTGCCCTGAATTCTTTTAATTATCTTTCCCGTTATGTTCCAGTGTAAACAGAGAGTCTTAAAAGGCCAAGTTAGAGGCTCTTTGGTCACATGGCTGGTCAGACCGTAGGAAGCAACTGACCCTCTGTCTTGTGTTTATAATCAATGGAAAAGAATCTACTCCTACATACATGGGGGAAACCTCTAGAAAGCTTCAAAACCTCGCATTTTCAAATTTTCTTCCAGCCTATAATTCCCCTGCAGCATGTAATTTCCTTCTGGCATATAATTCACTATAATGAAAGGAGAGCTGAGCTGTGCCGAGCTGCGGATGCTGGCATTTGTTTAAGACTTAAGGTTTTCACTCTCTCGCAGATGTTCTTCGAGCCTCAGCCAAATACACATTCCACTCTTGTTCCTTTGGGGCTGGCAAAGGGTCAAGACTATACGAAAGCTCTTGAGTGTCAAGGTCCACACTAGAACTGTGGCCTCTTTCTCTTGATGTCTTTCTCTTGCGTGCTGTCACCGGCTCCAACTAGGAATGAAAGGCTTACATAAAAGCATGTCTCAGGAGTCTGTACTTCCATAAGCACAGAAATCGTTTCCTTCACTGGCTGTGAAGCCAGCGGCTATGTTGTTTGTTTCTCTGGCTGCCTCTTTCCCTGCACCTCAAGGCTTGTGTCCTGCCTGACAGCGTTACTGTCTGTCCAGAATGCCAGTCTTGCAGCAACCCCTCCTACCAAGTGTTCTATGGAAACAAAGTCATCTTTTCTGCTCCAACCAGTCTGCTTTCTAAATGCCCTGCCTGCCAGGCCCTCAACAGAATTCTTAATGATACTCTGGCCAAAAGGAAGAAGCCAGTTAAGCATCACTGAAAACCCTAGGGAGACCCCGGCTATACTCAGGAACAAACCTGGAGCTTATTTCTATTTTTGTTTCATGATTAGCTTCCCAGTCCTTCTAGGTCTACAAAATAATGCCTTAGCAGAAAAGCATGTCTTCCTATAGAGCTATTATAAAGGGGTCAAGGATGAACACATAACTTATGTCTTAATACATTAGTTCTTGTTCCCTTCCTCCATGGACTTTTAGCCTTTAAAAATCTCTCAATCATGTCAAGTCTGACTGTATTGCTCTTTCCCAGGTTTGTAAAATCCTGTCCTTGGGACAATTCACCCTCAGATCTGTTCATATAGGTCTATGGTATAGATGGTTTATGGAATCCAGGACTTTTAAGAGAAGGTCAAATAGATGTCCAAAACCTTAACTATGATAATAAGCTTTCTGCATCCCTGAGTCTGTGATCTCTCTTTGCCTTTCTGGGACTTCCTCTGCCTCAAGTCAATGTGTTTATCCTAGAGGGTACAATTTAGAACTGAGAATAGAAGAAAAATGCAGCGAGTATTTGTAATGCTGTAGGGGAGGAGCACAGTGTGAGAACCATTAGATCTCACAGTTCTTGTTAGACAATGTGAGGCTCCCAGGGTTCCTGGTGGTGATGTAGTATGACTATTCACTGTCTAGCTCACTGCCGTTGACTATCTAGTGGCTGCTGAAGTTAAAAATAGTACTGGGTTGGGAGTGTCGCTCAGTTGGGAGAGTGCTTGCCTAGCTCACATGGATTCCTGGGATCCACCTACAGCAAAGCATAAACTGAGTGGGGTGTACCACACTTGAAACCAAAGTACCCTAGAAGTGGGGGCAGGAGGATGAGAAGTTCAAGGTCATCCTCAGCTACAGATGAGTTTAAGCACATCCTGAACTATGCGAGGCTTTGTCTGGAACATAAAAACTGGCAGTCCTAAGGAAGAGATTTATCACTCCTTCAGAATTCCCTCAGAAACTTTTACTGCTACTCTCCATTGTCGGCCATTTGCTCTCCTCTGTTGGGTATATTGTCAAATAACTTGTTTTGTGAAGTTCCAAGACAATTTTATTAGAGTTTAAAAGAAAACCACCATGGCAGGCAAGCTGAAAACTTCATCAGTTCTTTGGAGAGATGTGGGTAAAGAAAAAAAAAAAAGAGGACAAAGCTTTGGCATTTGAGTTAATGTAGCATAAAGGTCATCCACATGGCAGACAGCTCGCAACATGGCAGGGAGTGGAACTTTAGAGAAAGAGTAAGAAAAGTTCAGAGTGCCAGATTTCTCTTTGGCTCTGGTCAGCATCCAAACGAGAGATAAAGAAGATAAGAAAAAGGGAAAGTTAAGAATTTCTGAAGTAGGACTCAGAAAGACTGACACATCCAACTAAACCTAATGGCAACTCTCTATATCAACTTTACAGAGAGCAGGGACTCTGGGAAAGAAAAACACTTCTCTTGCTAAAGAGATAATTATTCCTCCCACCTCTTCAGCGTGACTTACAAAAAAAAATTAGCCTTCTTATGGGATGGTCTCTGGGCCATGTGCTAAACCAGCCCAACTTGATTGACTCTTCAGGAAGGAGACATGATATCTATTGTCTCCACCCAGAAGTAGTGTCCATTCTTTGGACCAGAAGGAAAAGTATTTCTCTTAATGAACCTTCAAGCCTACTCAAACAATTTTTACAACCATAATTTATTGTTGGTGGCCTGTTTTACACTCTGGTTATATTTCCCCATTAAATTGTAATCTGTTTCAGAGAAAACATAGAACCTGTGTTGTGTCATATTCTTGGAATGTAACATTAAGTCCAGTTTATGGTATAGATTTAGTGAATTTTTCCATAAAGAGGGGGAAAATAAGCAAGAATATAGATAGTACCACTGAGGATGTCCAGACCCACTGTCCATGGTCCTTGCTTCACAAGCAACATACTAGGAACTTTGGTTGATCTCAAAAAGGCAGTCACCTATGTGACTGCTTAACAGAGTAATTTCTAGAAGCTAGCATAATGGTACAGTTATAAAAAAATGTCCATAATGTCATTTAACTCATTATCTAGTGTACAAACCAGTAAAATGTTGCAGTTAATTCACAGTCAAATTTCAAGAACTAAAAAATCAGTTGTACAAGTGGAGGCAGAAAAGGGTTGGATACAGAACAGTGATCACCTGCATGCAGATAGAAGTAATTAATTTGCATTTTCCTTACACAAAAGTATTCATAGTATTAGTCGTTTTGTACAACCATGTTTTTAAAAATAGATCAAAGACAACAGAAAGGGAACATGGCCTGGTAGGTATTATAAATATCTTGTATCAATAGAAAGTGTCTATAGTTCCATCACCTACTTCTAGACATTCCAACTTTCAGAAAGATGCCATGCATACCACAGCACAACAGGAAGAATGCTAACATCCCTCAGGGTCAACACTGATGGTCAATGAGTATATATCTACTTTATTATGTGTAAAACTGAGATGTTTTGAATTTGCTGGGTGACAGCATAGAAGAATAAACTTGATGTTTTAGGTTTCCAGAGAGCATTGTGCGACCTCAGATTGGCCCATGTAAGCACAGTGACATAATTAGAGAATGAACAGGGTGGGTTAGTGGATGCCTGGTCTGCAATTTGAAAGAACTGTCTGTGAAATATGTAACAGGGTCTACCTTCTTTATAAAGTGTTGATAACTTTCGTTGTTCTTTGGAAACAGAAATGAATAATCAGCTTGATCATGCTCACTGAAGTCTGTCGTTCTGGAAGGATTTTTACCACCGTGCCTTCAAGGTTCCATTTATATAACTGACATTTTAAATGAAAAGAAAACAGCTTAGGCCTCTCCAGATCTGTCTAAGCCCAAGTTAGCTGATGATGAGTTAGCATTGAACAAATGGTACACTCTTTCTGTGTACTTACCTGACAACTTATCTAATGGAATTGTTTTAAGCTCCACTATTAGAGTAATAAATTCCAACATGTTTCCTCCTAAATCTTTTGCTCTAATAGTATTTCTTTTCTCCTTTTTAGCAATATTTTCATGCTGGAGGAAATGGCCTGAAGAAGAATTTTCTGGAGAAAAGCCCAGACCTTCATTCCCTGAGATATGCTCTCAGCCTCTACACACAAACTACGGATGCTTTGATCAAGAAGTTCATAGAGACGCAAAGCTCACAGAGTAAGTAGCTCTTGACCTGAGAGCAAAGTGCACCCGTCAGCCTCACCTGAAATAGCATGCAGGACATGAAGCATGGTTAAAAATAGAGGGTTCATATGAGCAGAGAATACCCTAGTTTTCAGCATTCTTTATAAATAAAAAGAACAGAAAGTTGATGGCTTAGACGAAATGAGATATTTTCTCAGCTGCGATGTTTGATCTCTAAACTCACCCCAGAGTTCCATGAAAACAAGGTGCCTGACAGCATTTTCCATTCTAGCTTCCTTTCTCTCTCCTCCTCTCACCTCCTCCCTCCTTACCAAATGTTTCAAGGGATACCTTCCCAGGTAGACTCCCTCAGGACCATGTGCAGCGGTAGCGCGCGACTCCAAGTAGATTCCTTCGCATTCTTGAATGTTTGTCTCAGGTTCTGCTTATGAAGGAACTCAAGCTCAAGGTTATTTCCTTAGAAAGGGAAAGCCAGATCCCATTTGTCGAGTCCATATCTAGATTCTGTACTCTCAACTCCTACACACATTCCACCTTGACGAAAATTGTGGCAATCACGTGACTCCACAGAGATCTATCTCACTGGTTGTCTTTTATCTTCTGACACCTTGATTCAACAGGGAAGCAATTAATGAAATTCAACTTTTTCTTTTCCTTTTGTAAGACTTATTTCTCATCATTCTCTCTCCTATATTCCCTGTCTCTGTTAGATAAACTATAATACTATATTGAAGGAAAAAGTCAATTACTTTTGATTTAATAATTTCTTTGGGCTATGTTCAAATTGGAAGACAGTCTTCCTTTAAAAAAAGATTATTTGAATTAGCTTTTTCATAAATTGATTTCTCTTGCTCACTTTTCCCTTTGTCCTTATTTTTCTTACCTCGTTCGCTCCTATTTTTATCCTCTTTTCCTTCTCTGGTTTATATGGAACACATTTTAAGCAGCATCAGTAGTAAACAAGGAAAAAGTCCAAAAAGAGAAATACTGATTCGATTCTTTTTCTGTCTCATTAGAAATTTATGAGCCAGAGTTCAAATAAAATCTATCATATCGGAACAATATTTTCTTCTCTTTCTATCTCAACCACATGCTAGAAAATAAATCCTAAATCCATAACAAATATAGAAGAATTCCTAAGGTCTTACATAACACTGAGCTCAGTTGATCAGTACTTAATGCCCCAGCAGCGCACTGCGATGCCTAGGCACCACCTTACTCTGTATTCATGTGACAAGTGTTTCTGAGCATCGCCTCCAACACCTCCAACCCATCCATAAGGTGAGTGCTGCAGGGACTGTGGTGTCATGTATCGGTTGATCTAGCACAGTGGTTCTGCATGCCAAGAAGATTGTCCCAGAATGTAGGCAGTGTCTGGAAAGCTTTGGTTGTCCATCAGAGAACAGGGACTGTGCTTTCAGATTCTACTTGTCAGAGATCGAGGATGCTGTGGCCATCTTACTATACACAGAACACACAAAGTGAAATCTAAAGCAAGTACATCTCTGTACTAGGTATTTTCTTGTTGTGACCAAATACCTGACAAGAAGTAACTTAAGTGGGGAAGAGGGGTTGTTCACGATTTGAAAGTGCACAACCCACAATGGTGGGGACGGCATTGCAGCAGGATCATGAGGCAGTTAGTCATGTTCCATTCCTGGTCAGGCAACACAGAGCAGGCAGAAAGTGGAGCTATCAGATCTCAGAGATGCCTCCAGTGACTCGCCTTTTCCAATTAGAATCCACCTTGAGCCCTCCCTTTGCTGGGGATGCAGTATTAAAACACATGAACTTGTGGGGCCACAGCACAGAAGCTGGGAACCCTGGTTAGTGGGAAAAGGAGAAAGTAAGTCACTTGGGTTATGAAGAAACAAAAGGAGGTGTTTGAAACACAGAATGTGAAAGCAAGCAAACATTTGCACTTGAAGCCTTAAAATTTCCACACTATGACCAGGTTGACAGTAATTCTTTTAATTTGGCCCTTTAGGTGTAATGCAATTGCCTCGTCTTTCTCTGCAGAATTAAAATGCATAAATTCTGCATCGTGTTTGGAGTGAAATTCATAGAAATCATTTTGATCTTTGTATCAGTTTTGATATTTTCTTCATCTAGGAGTTGACTTGGTGGTTTGAGTTGGGTAGTTTGATTTGGAAAGAAAGAGAGAGAGAGAGAGAGAGAGAGAGAGAGAGAGAGAGAGAGGAAGAAGAGAAGAAAAGAAAAAAAGAAAAGAAAAGAAAAGAAAAAGAAAAAAGCCCTTTCTGTCATTGTCGCTCCTCCTTGGGGATGCATGGCTTACAGTTTTAGAAGTTGGTCCAAAATGCATTTCTTGCATCTTGATTACAGTATTCGTCGGGAAGAAAGTGCTTTTCCTAACAGCTATTTCATTAAATCAGGAACTCTTTGAATATTTCATGGCACCACAGACAGTAAAAAATGAATAAGCCTTGAACATATTAAGTGGAGTTTATTCAATGGGTAACTTGGTCTGGAAGGAGACACGGGATGATTCATTGCTCAGCCACCCTGAGCTGTATTCTGTTTCCTTATCTGAGATTTTATTATGGCACGAAGAACGTGCATCACAAAAGCTTTTCACAGAAAGGGAATATTTTATGTCTAAGTTACAATTGTCTCATAAAGGAAAATAATCTCTTCCAGTTAATGACTGTGTGAATTAAAATCTATGAGTGGAAGTGCTTTTATTCAAAGGACCTTTTTGTCTCTTTTGAGTAAAATCTTTTGAGTTTCTGCTTATTAAAATGTCTGAAAACATAGATAATTTTCAACATTTTACCAATTTATATTCAGCAGAAGTAGAGTCTAGTGTCTTTTCATTTGAAATAGAAAGTAGGTAGCTTTAAACTCACATCTTGGGTTCTATGAATTGACATCAATATAATCATTATATCACACTATGGTTGCAATTATAGTTACATCATGTTTATAATCTAGTGTAAATTGTGTTATTTGTGACAATATATGACATCCAATATGGAAAGTTTAAGAGAGAAATCAGTTACCTCAGCACATTCTTATTATTAGCAGGAAAAGCCTCCCAAATACAGTCTTCTGGAGTCAAATCACCTAGAGGAATCATATTACCTTTAGTTATTTTCATCAGGATGTAAGAGATGTGCCCAGAGCAGTAAAGAAGCCATCATCAGATGTGGTTCATTGTGAAACAGATTTTTTGATTCTGTTTTGTTTTGTTTCTTATCAGAGATAACAGAAGAAGTTAACCTTAAAAGTACTTTATTCACAAAACAAAAATAACTAGCCATTTAAACACAGAAATGAGTTTTGAGTCCCAAGGGCCACAGTGAGCCTTCCTCTGACGGTCAGCTCTGGGAGAACACTGGGGTTGTCTTCAGTGTGCGGGGAAGTACCTTGAGCGTACACAGCCGTTTCTACCTTTAGGGTGTTTTTTAAAAATGGTTTCTCATTTTCTGCAGATAAGCCCTCAGAAATAACCAGAGATCTGACTCTTTCCAATAGATCTATCATGTCCTGTCCCCAGAGACCTCTTAAGTGGCTCAACCTTTCTCTAGAGGTACAGGCAGAGAAGTGAGGAGAATATCTGAAGCTTGTCTTCTCGAATGTCACAGTACGATGACATTCTCTTCACAGAGCCCAAGGGGCGTCTTTAGTTGGATGAAGAGCTAAGCACAGATAGCTTCCATAGAAGTATGCTAGGACCGGCTCTCAGCAGGAGACCTGCTTTCCAAGAGTAGGAACACATCTGTGAGGGGCACACATCTGTTATCACCCAGCAAGCATCTGTGATGTTCCTCCTCAAATTCTGCAGAATAACGCCTCACACCTTCCAGATGAAGATGCATGATCACACATGGGTTCAGAAATGTGATCAAGTTCTGAGCTGTGGAGTTCTATAGCAGAGGAGATGTCCCTCGCTGCCACCGCTCATGCTGTTAGGGCACAAGTAGCGCTACTTTATCTTCTGCCCTAGTCTGTATTTTAAACATTTTATTACACTAAGGTGGGGAGGATACAAATGTCCCCAACTTATAGTCAGCTTGTGAGACTTGGTTCTCTCCTTCTATTATGTGGGTCCTGGGGAATCGAACTCAGGCTGTCAGCCTTGATAACAAGTGCCTTTACCTTCTGCGACATCCCATCAGCACTACTGTGCATTTTAGTATCGTTAAGATCTCCTTCTTGCTCAGCAAACAAAGTTTAAGTTGATAATTTTGTTTTCCTTCCAGTGACTCCAAACTTGCTAACTTTGCCCTTTGTTTTCCAGAGTCCTCTCTGTATTAGAGTTTCTACCGCTATGATAAACACCATGAGCAAAAGCAACTTGAGGGAGAAAGGGTTTATTTGACTAATGCTTCCCATCACTGGAGGAAGCCAGAACAAGAACTCAAGGCAGGAACCTGGAGGCAAAGACCATGGAGGAATATTGCTCACTGTTGTGGCTTCTCATGGCTTACTAAGCCTGCTTTCTCTTATGGCCTAAGCCCACCCACCCATGGGCGGTACCACCTGCAGTGAACAAGGCCCTCCCACATTAACCATCAACTTCACTATAGACCAATCTTATGGAAGCATTTTCTGAGTCAAGATTCCCTCTTCCCCATACATCTAGGTTTGTGTCAAGCTGACAAAAGCTAATCATTCCACTCTCGTTCAATCTAGTTACTGGGCATGCTCAGTAACCACTACACTTTTTTTTTTTGTCCAAGACAAGGTTTCTCTGTGTTATTTCTGGCTGTCCTGGAACTCACTCTGTAAACCAGGCTGGCCTCAACACTTTTAAATACTGGAATTAACCACACCATAGGAACCCAAGGTGAATGTAAGGAAAAGCTCCCTGCTGTTAGGAAACCTTTTTGTATGTACCTGATTTCCTCCTTCTGGCATCTACACATTTGTTCTTATGGGGGATGTTGCCGGTTCTTCTCCCTTCCTATCCTACCCTCTTCACCCTCTGCCTCCACCAGCACAAGGATTCCTTTTGTAGTTCCATCCAGGAGTCATATCATAGTTGCTAG